GCGAAGGACCCAGGCGGGTCGGACACCTCCACGTACGGGTGCCACCCGGACGGGGGGAGTCCCGGCTGCACCCCGATGCTCCTTCATTAGACGCAGGTTGCCATTCACGGTGAGCTGCCGGGGGCGGGCTGCTACCTTCTTTTACCAGTTTTCGAACCAGCTCGGATGATGGCTCCCCAGGCCGGGCCGCCGGGGGAGGGCGGAGGACGGTGGAGTCGGATTCGGGGGCAGCCAATCCTGGCCGCTGGGGTGTGAGTGGACAGTCCCCAGCACCCGGCTTCGTTCCTCGCTCTCACCGGCGCCCCGAGACAGAGATCACACACTCCCCGAGACACTGAGCTCCGGCTCTGTCCTGAGGGGCGGGTCCCTACCACAGGGCTTGACCTGCACCCTGGGGGTCCTTCCCTAGAGACGCCGCAGGCCAGGCCAAAGCGGGACGGCCTCCCGCCCGAGCCGGCCTCCCGCACACCTGGGGGCGCCGGGCTCGCACACGTCGCCTCCTTGCACTCGGGCTGGAACCCAGGCCTGTGTGCCGCTCTGCCCAGGACAGCGCACAGGTGACCCCTGCGACGGTGGGCCCCGCCCCACCCACCCACCACCAACACGGGGGGCCCTTCGGGGGTTCCAGGGCCTCGGAAGCGCCTCAGCCCCCGGGGTGAACCCCGGGACCGGAGGCTGCTGAGGCGGGCGAGCCCCTCGTCAGGGCCGCGCGGGGAGACCACCTTCTCACTCCCCTGGGTGCCGCGCCCCTGCCGCGCGACGGTGTCCTCCCCACTGTGAGACGGAGACACTTCCAGAACCCGCGAGCTCTGGACAGGTCACGGGTGACACACACACCCTGGTCTCACGGACACCTCGGCGGACGGAATGTGCTCTGATCTGCACTCGGACCCAAACTGGACCTGGGACCGGGAACGAAGTGGCCCCTGTGCTCACGGAAAAGCAGCGGACATCCAAAAGGAAACGGCACCCCAGGTCTTACTTAAACACCCCCCTCCCCCCCGCAAAGGACAGCGCCTCTCCTCGGAGGATGAGAGCACAAGTGGTGTCCACACACTCCCAGGGAGGGGGGTGAGGGGTGAGGGTGTGGCAGGGGCGCACCCCCCTGGGCGGCCCCGTTTCTAACTGCGGACATCACGGCCCATAGGCTCCGGTGGCCGCTTCCTGGCAGTGACGGCCGCAGGCACCCCAGGACCCCCACCTCGCCCCCCATCTCTCCCGTGTCTCTAAAGGGGACCTGCCGTGTGGGCTGGAGCTGACGCAGGTGCTTTGGTGACGAAGGACCCCCCCCCCCCCCGCCCCATGCAGCGCGGCACAGAGCAGGCTGGCGGGGAGCTGGGGCCACACCCCCGGGGGCCGCGCCCCTGGGGACCCTGAAGAAAGCCGCGTGGGGACCCCGAGGATGCTGCCTGAGAGAGGGAAACTCCAGTCTTGCCGCCAAGGGCCCTCATTTTAGCTTTTTGGTGAAGGATGAGGGTGGAAATCACGCTGACGGGCGGCCCCACCGTGCGGCGCCCGCCGGAGTAAATCACGTTTCCCGGGAGAAGGAAGATCCGCATCTCCTGCGCATTCCCACCGAACCCTTCCCGGCTGCTTTCCAATCTGTTTGCTTGAAGGACATGGACACGGCCCAGGGGAGTTCTAGGAAAGTCGCACCGGCCTTGTGGGCACACGGTGGGGGGTGCGGTGGGGCGGGCGGGCGGGGGGGGGGGGACAGCCCACCCAGGGAGCAGATCTGCTGCCCAATCCCCTCCGCCTTCGGAGCAGCTGGGGCACCCACATTGCTGCCAGGTTTCTGCACCTCCCTAGGCAGGAATGCGGACTGCTCCCTTGTTTCCAGAACATTCTAAGTGCACGGAGAAGGGGTTGGCAGCGTTGGCGCCCTGGGGACCCATGCCAGTGCGTGAGCACCGAGTGGGGACAAGCAGGACGCGATGGCCGCTCCCGGGGGGAAGGTGCGACGGCCAAGTGCAGGCACGAGACAAGTTCAATGCCGCCGGGAGAGGGAAGACAGCCCCAGCGAGGCGAATGCTGTGTCCAATGGTGTGAGCTCAGGGTTGGCGGGGGCGGGGGGAGCGGGGGCCTGAGGCAGTGCTCTGCCCAGCTAGGGCGCCCCCTGCAAGTCCCCACTTTCCAAGGAAGTACAAGAGGCCGCAGAAATGAGGGCTGGCCCAGGAGTGTGCCACCCCAGGAGTGTGCCACCCCAGGAGTGTGTCACCGAGGCCCCTCGGCACCCAGCGGTGGCACCTGCAGGGAGGGAGGCCTGTCCACACCGCCACCACCACCACCGCGAGGTGCGGGCGATGGACAGGGTCACCTGAGGCCAGGGTGCCGCTGCAGAGGGGCAGGAGGCAGGACCCAGCGCCGTGTGCCTCCGGAGACGCGGACTCGGACCAGCAAAGTGGAGGATGAACGTGGGCGAGGGGCTGCCGAGATGGGGACTGGGCGGCCCGGGCTCCTCCGTCGGGGAGGGGGGCTCTCAGGGGCAGGGTTCTCAGGGCACCCCCGGGCTCCGCAGAGAGAGGGGGGTCAGAGGCTCACAGGGGGCGGCGGGCTCAGGGACGGCCGGCTTCGGCCCTGCCCAGGCCTCTGGTCTTGAGAGACACGCCTGTCTCTGAACATCCGGGCTCACACCCGTCACACGCTGTGCAATGTCACCACACCCTGCAAGGCCACGTCGCGGCACAGGCAAAGAGAAAGAGCCCGAGAAGCTGGACGGTCGCCCGAAGCCGCGCCGGCGGGACAGCGGAGCCAGGGGGCCAGGTCTGTGCGGCCCCGGGGACGGTGCTCTTCCCCGATGAAGTTGGGCAGCTCCTTCCCCAGCATGGAGAGGGCCCTGGATGTGTGTGTGGGGGCCACTCGAGGCCGGGCCCACGCAGACCTCACCGGGCCCGACCAGAGCTCAGGGGGGGCGGGAGGAACGGAGGCCCCGAGGCGCTGGGCTCGCGTCGGAACTCCTGCCCAGGGCGATCCCGTGGGGTGGGGGCTGCCCTGCTCTGCCCCCTGCAGTCCTGTGATCGGGGGGCGCCCTGCAGCCCCACCTGTGTGCCGGGGCAATCCCAGGCCGTGGGCGCTCACGGGGGGACAGAAAACTGCACCCACCCGGACCCACGAGCGCGTCACTTCCTGGGACGACAGGAGACACGACCAGGGTTCTGGGCTCGGCACACCACCCGTCCACGCTGGTGCTCGAGGCCCGGCCGTGCGGGCTCAGGGGCTTTTCCTTGGCGGGTTTTGTGGCCCGTGGCCACCCTCACGTGTGAGCTGCCCGCTCGTGGGCCCTCCCCGGCGGGCAGTGACTCCTCCGGGGGAAAGCGTGGGTCCCGGACAGAACGGCCGTGTGGACTCCGCAGCGGCGGCCCCTCAGGTCACTGTCACCTCACGGGGAACTGCACGGTGACAACTCCGGCCGCTTCCTGCACCGGCCGGGTCCAGCGCCGGCCCCGAGGGCTCGCTCCCCCAGCCCGGGCGTCCGTGAGGCGCTCAGGCGGCGTGAGAAGGGGCGGCGAGGCGGCCTCCGGTCTGAGGCCGAGGGGCAACCCCGAGAGCTGCCCGTCACCTGCACGGCAAGGAGAGCCCTGTGGCGCCTCTCCTCCGCGGCCAGAACCCAAGGACGCAGGCCGCCTCCCGAACCGCCGCCGCCGCCACCGCCGCGAGGAAGAGCGGAGGGGCTGGGGTTCCCAGGGGGGATCTGTGACGTCCTGGGTGGGGGGGTGGGGGGGACCCACTGAGCATTCGGGGCGTGAGCGGCTGCGAGAACGAGCCAGGCGGGGAGACACTGCACTATAAACACACACACATCCCAGAGAGAAGCCCCCCAAGGAACCCCGTTTCCTGCAGAAGGGGGCTCCGCTGCGGTTAAGCATTCCTGTATGTGTGTGGGGGGGCTCGAGCCGACGAGCCGACTCGGGGGGTCTCCTCGGCACTCCGCCCGCGCCCACTGCGCAGCGTCTGCGAGGGAGGCCGCGTGCAGGCGAGTGTGGCGGCTGGACCGCGACGGCAATGCTTCTTCAGAAACAGGCAGCGACGGCTGCCCTGTTCACACCCAGAGTGACCGCCCGGCGACGGCGCACGGAGGCGCAGCCCCGGCGGGGCAGGGGCCACGGGCCCGCGTCGGCGCCCGGTGTTTCTGGAAACCGCCGTGTTCCTCGGAGCTGAAGGAAGGTCGGAAGTGCCCACGGAACGCCGACCTACATAGAAATTCAGTGTAAAACTTTATTTTTTCTTACCTAATGTTTTTTTTTTTTTTTTTTAAGTGAAAGAAGGGGAAAAACTCACAAAATAGAAGGATTACTACATGAGAGCAGGGAAGTTCTGGGGGCCACCACGCGGACGTGGCCCGTGCCCCTGAGCCGTGTCAGCCCCAGGCCACCCCTCGTCCTGCCACGCCCACAGGACCCCGGGCACGGCCGCCCCTCCCTGTCCCGACCTCGGGGCCTTTGCCTGGTGCCCTCCGCTTGGCCTCCACGCTGGAGGTGGCCGGGCCTGAAGCAGCCCAACACCACGGCGGCCATCAGGTGCCACGGCAAAATGGACAGCCTGGCACCTGACGAAGCGCCTGAGGGACTCTCCCGGGCCGGTCTGGGCCCCGGGGCCGTCGGCAGCGGTCACTGCCCCCCACGGCCATGCTCTGAGCCTGGGGCCTGGAGTGGCCCCTGCCTGCCCCAGAGCCCCCCGCCCCGTGTGCCGGCGGGGGGCGGCATCAGGTCTGTGTCACGCTCGCTCTCCGTGATGAGGACCCCCCGCCCCTCCCCCTCCGTGATGTGCTGGGGCCTCTCCCCCCCTTCCCGGCGGTAATAAGCAAACCGGGCCGCCGTCCCGTGCTGACGGCCCCTCTGCAAGCCGTACATCACGTTAATGGCAGTGTTTACCGCTGCGGGCCCCCTCCGAGGACGGCGGCCCCAGCCCTCCCATCTCAGCCGGGCGCACGCTGCTAGTTCGCATCCAGTTCAATTTGTAAATTAACGGAGGTGCCATTCGTCTGCACAAGAATCAATGCATATTTATGAACTTCTTTTATTCAAATAGATTTCCACACATCGTGTCTGAAGACATAATACAGAAGCCTGTGTGAGTTGGGCACCGTGGCCCGGGAGTGACGGGGACCCGAGATGTCCACCTTGGCGAAAGGACACAGAACCTCTCTCCTGTTCCGGGGGCAAAAGGACCCTTCGTGCGGCTCGCCCGTCGGCTCAAGGCCCCCGACGCGTCCCTGTCAGCTGAGACCGTGGTTTCCTTCTGAGTCTGAGTTCCTCTCATTTATTTTCCCCATTCTGTTTTCGCACCAAGGAGACTGCAGTCAGACACTCCTGACGACCGCTCCCCCCTCTCTGGACTGAAAAATTAAACGGAGACTAAATTATGACAGTGGATTTAGAAGGGAGGGCTCCGAGGGCTCGGCAGAACATGTCTGCGGTAATACGGCGCTTCCACGGGTGCCGCAATCACATCGCGGCGCTCAGCGGAGCGTGCCGCGTGGCCGCCGCCCGGCTAACAGGCTTCCTCCGCGGCGGTGACTAATCAGGTTCTATTAAACCGCGGTCACGCGGCCGGAGCTCGACTGCACGGGTGTAATGAAGCCAGCGTGCTCCCGGGACAGATTAGCTACAACCGATTTGACACACACCATCATAGGGGCTTCGAACCTGACAAACTCGGCTCGCTGCTGATTTACGCCGTCAAGCCCCCCGGAGAGGAGCGCAGACGGATGCGCGCGTTCCGTTCGGTGGAGGTGAGATGTGCTGATGCGCCGGGCCGCGCGCGGGAGGGCTGCCCGCCCCGGCGCCGCCCCGCCCCCGCCCGTCCGCCCCGCGCCTTGTGCCATGCTCTGTCTGCGGGCCGCGGGCACGGGGTCCCTGCGCCTTGTGCTGTCGTCAGCCGACTGAGTCCCGTCGGCCGCTCCCGGGTGTCGACTGGGGGGGTCCGTGGGGACGGCGCCCCGGCAGCGCGGCCCCGTCTCCGCCCCGTGCGGGCCGGGCTGTCCAGGGCCGGCGCCTTCGCTGCAGGTGCGGGGGGTGGCGGGGGGTGGCCGGGACCACCGGGAAGAGGGAGGGGCGGCGGGCGGGGGCGCGGACACGCCTCAGATGACGGTGGGCACGCGCCCGCCGCCGCCGCTGCGTCCGGCGCTCTTCCGGGCCAGGTTGGGCGTGGCCATGAGCGCGGCGCGCTCGTCCGGACAGCCGTGCTGCAGCAGCACCTCGACGCACTCCTGGCTGGAGGCCTGCCGCGCGTAGGCCAGCGCCGTGTTCCCGTGGGCGTCGCGGGCCATCACGTCCACCCCGTACTGCGGAGGCAACAGAGCCGTGTTAGAGCCCGGCGCGGGGGCGGGGCAGCCCGTCCGGCGTCGGGGCGCAACCGGGACCCCGGGTGTCTGCTTTTGGGGCGGGAGTGTGCTTTTGCAACAAGCCCCTCCTCTGACCAACAGAGACGAACCCCGGCAGCCCTGGTTGGGCTACTGCAACTCGGACCTTCCAACTGCAACCACGGGAAACGATCCACTCGTGATCTCAGAGGCAGGGGGCTGTCGTGGGGGCCGCCCACAGCGAACACGTGAGAGGGAAGAGAAAACCCCGTCGCCTCTCCAGTCCCGGGTAATCTCGGCTAACAGTTCAGTGCATTTTCCTCGGGGTCTAAGTGCCTCACTGAAATAAAACTTACACACACAATGTGTGTGTGTGTCTCTCTCTAACTGAACGTCGTACTGGGATCATTTCCTCACATCATTAAAAACCATGCAAAAGCATGACACATCACGGCCACCCGGACGTCCTCCAGGGACACACTCTGGGGACGCTGTGCTCAGCACTGCACGTTCTGTGCAACAGCTTCGCTGCGTGGACAGGGCCGTGGGCCGCGCCCTCACAGGGGGTGCCGCCGGGCTCCCTGATGACCGGAGCGGTGAGGACACGGGGAGGTGCCGGCTCGCACCCCATGTCTGGAGTTCCTGCCCTCGGAGGAGGCAGCGCCGACTGCGGCGCCACAGCTGCGTCTGCTTGCACCCGCACCCCGGCCCCCCACCGCGCGCCCCGGCCACCTACCCAGATCAGCAGCTGCGCCAGGACCACGTTGCCCTTGCGGCAGGCCAGGTGCAGCGCCGTGCGGCCGTCCCCCTCCCCGCAGGTCTCGTTCACCTCGTCCCGGGAGCCGTGCGCCAGCAGCAGGATGACCATCCGCAGGTCCTCGTCGGCCGTGGCCCGCAGCAGGTGCTGGCCCAGGGACAGCTCGGTGCAGGGCAGCGGGGCCAGGAACAGCTTCTGCTCGTACTTGGCCCGGATCCACCGCTCCTTCTCTTCCCTGCAACAGGCGGGTGCGGTCACAGGCAGGCAGGACGCGGGGGCTGCCCCCCGCCCCCGTGCCACCACCTCCTTGCCAGGAAGCAGGCAAGGGGAGTCAAACAGCGGGGGGCAAAATTCTCCCCCAGTGTGGGGGGCCCTGTGGTTCACAGAGCGGGGTGCCCCCCCCAGCATCGGCCCGACTCCCCAGGAACCTGTCGGCAGAGTCTCGGGCCCCCACTCAGAACCTGGGAGGGCCCTGCGGCAGACCCGGCAGGGTGCGGGTGCCCCCCCGCCCCGGCCTCAAGCTCTCACGTGATTCCCTTCGCACCCAGTGCGGGGCTGCAGCCCTGGAGACCCCCACCTGCCCAGGACCCACCGGGCATGAGGCGGGACGGACACCACAGGCCTGGATGTCCACTCCGCTGCGAGGACAACTCGGAGCCGGGACCGGAGATGCTGGGCCAGAGTCGGGCAGGACAGCGGGGGCCCCGACCTGAATGTGACCTGCTCTTGGCCCTCCACCCACCCCCTGGCGGGGAGGGAGAACCTGCGGGGGGCTCTAACCACGTGCAGCTGAAGAAACTGCTGCCACAGACCCTCCTAGGAGGGCGGAGACTCGAAGGGGGAGCTTTAGAGATGAGATGCAGCTGCACCCCGCCCCCGCTCCGTGCAGCCCTGCGGTCTCCCCAGAGGCTCGGGGAGGGCTCACGTGGGGAATGCCGCGGACTCCTTAAGTGACCACGAACGGCTGGGTTTTCTGAAGGACAGCGTGTGGGGCCAGCCTGGGAGTCCCCGCAGGCGGCCCCAGTGCAGAGCTGGGCCCGGGGCACAGAGGGGAGGATGGCGCAGCGGAGGGGCATGGCCTCAGGGCGGCGGGCGGGGCCTCAGGGCGGCAGGCGTGGCCGTGGCAGCGGACGCCCCTCCCCCAATGGCACAGCCTGCTGAGGGAGAGTGACAGGAGCCGGGCGGGTGTGATGAGTGAGCCCCCCACCCCCGGCCGCCCCCGGCCTTAAAGGGGACAGGACAGGGCCTCTGACACCTGCGAGGAGGGCTGGGAACGAGGAGGAGGGGCGGACGGACGAGGCGAGGGAACCCCACAGCCAGGTGTGTTCACATCGACCCGAAGGACCGCCTGGCCCTGGGCTCCTGCCCCCGGTGGCTGCCGATGGGGGCGTTTGGTTCTGGCTTCTCAAAAAGGACATCAGCCACAGGACATCAGCCATGTTGACAAGGCCACCGTCCTCAGGACTGTGCAGCATTGCTGGGGGGGAGGGCGGGGCAGGAGTCCTGCAGGGAAGGGGCAGTGGCCCTCTCCCACTCGAAACCCAGCGTCTCCTCCGGAGGGTCCCCAGCGCACACTGCCACCAACGACCGCCACCAATGACCGCCACCAGAGCGCTGGGGCCTCTGGGTCCTCGACCCTCAGGAGGAAAACTCACTCCCCCGGGGCATTTTTCCTAACCGAGGGCAGGACAGAGGTTTGTTTACTTCTCCTCCAGGCTTGACTCTGCTGGGCCCTAATCTGGCTTTAAATACTTAGGCAAACACCTTCCAGGGGGGAATCCGGATTAGTTTTGCTTCACTTCCTGGTACATGCGGGTGACCCCAGAGTGACCTGACCCTTTCCATGCGGGGACTGCCGGGCCAAACGTTGGGCTGCAGCTGAGACGCCACCCCAGCACCCGAAAACGTGGCTCTGATGGGGACCGGAGCAGTGTCCCCACTTGGGCCAAAATAGTGGAACAAGCCCTGGCTGGTGTGGCTCAGTGGATTGAGCACGGGCTGCCAACCAAAGGGTTGCTGGTTCGATTCCCAGTCAGGGCACATGCCTGGGTTGCAGGCCAGGTCCCCAGCGGGGGCCATGTGAGAGGCAACCACAAATGGATGTTTCTCTCCCTTTCTCCCTCCCTTCCCCCTCTCTAAAAAATAATTAAAAAAATTTAAAAAGCTGCTGTAACTAGACCACAGGTACGTCTTGGAAACAGCAGCGGAGGCGAGAGACAGAGACCCCAGCCAAACCGAGGCCTCACGCTACTTAAGACCCCGAAGTAAGATGAACTGTGTGCGTGCTGATGAGGGCCGTGCATTGCCAGCGAGGGAGAGGGAGGCGCCAGTGTGGTGAACGGAACGGCGGTGAGGGTCGTGCCCGGACCCCCCGGTTCCCATTTGCCGACCCCACTCCTGGGACGGCCGTGAAAATCGGACGGGTGTTACGCTGCTCCGGCCGGCTTCGGTCCTCACCGCCGAGGCACCGGGGGACGGAGGCAGGAACACCAGTCCTGGTGGCAACGACTCCCCTTTCCTTGTAATATTCGAGCCCCCCAAAGTGTGAGGACGAGCCCCCAGCCCTGGAGTCCTCCCCCGTTGTCACCGGGACAGGCGGGGTGCCCCCATGCCCTCAGATCTGGTCACCCCACAGACGAGCGCGCCTGAATTGGCCTCGCTCGGCCTGTGCTGCACGGTTGCCCTGTTTAAACCGCGCTCTGCTGTCAGAAGCCAGCGTTTAAGGGGGGTCCGGGCGCTGGGGCGGAAAGCACGTGCTTTTCGGGGCGCCTTCTTTGGGAGGAAGACGAATGTCACACGTGTGTGAACTCAGGGCAGGGTCTGGGGAGGCCGGGCGAGCTGCAGGGCGGGCCTGCCTGCTGCCCCGCGGGGGCTGGAGCAGGGTGGCTTACCGATGGGGGGGTGGGGGGTGCCAGCACAGCACCTCCCACGGCGACTGTGCACCACAGGCGGGCACCCTGCAGGTCGGAGGGCTGGCCCCTCCGGGCCTCCCGGGCGGCTGCCAGAGGCCACACGGCCACAGGGTCCCTCACCCTCCACCAGGACACCCCCGGTTCCGTTCAAGGCGTGGCTTTTATTATTTGACGGAACCATGGCTCTTCCCCAAACCTCTCATGCTGTTAAAAGTAACTCTCACTGAGGCCCTCAGCCCTGGCCGGTGTGCACCAAAGGGTCCTGGGTTCGATCCCCAGTCAGGGCACATATGGGACACAACCAAACTCCATATGGAGTTTCTCTCTCCCCCTCTCAAATTGATGAAAGTATTGAACAAACTTCAACTCTGGCCTCTGGGCCCCAAAGCACCCTCTGTTCCTGTGCTTGCTCAGACCCCACGGGGCAGCGAGAACGCTCAGACGGCCCCGGGTCCGCCGGCACACTTCTCCGCACGCAGCACCGGGATCCCGCGCGTGGGGGCGGGGGGCTCAGACGCGAGCACGCGGGGGCTCGGGGCGCTGACGCGGCGCGCCTGCCCAGACACGAGCGCTGACTGTTCCTCAGCCCCGTTCCCTGCGCTGGCTGCCCGCCCCAACGGGCCGGGGAAGCAGGACTCTGGGGCGCTCTGCAGGGGCCCAGGGAGAGGACAGACGCGTGATGTCAGCGCCAGAGACTGTGGGTCCGCGAGTCCCTCCTCTGCGAGACGCCGGCTTCTGCAGCCCCAGTGTCGGTCCCCTTGGGCCCTCCCTTCTTCACCTGCCAGGCGGGGCGCCGTGGCGGCTACGGCAGGCAGGTGGCCTGGGAGGTGAGGCCCCGTGTCCGGGCGGCAGGCCGCCCCAGCTGCCCCTCTGCAACGGCAGCGGCCGGCATTGGATCACAGAACAGTGTCGGCAACGACTCACCGTGCCCCCTGGCACGCGACAGCTTGGCTGTGGGGCGACGTGTGTGACCAAGACGTGCCGGTGGCACCGGGTGGGGCTCGGAGATGCCCGCTGGGTGCTTTTGGTGTCCGAATCCCCACTGTCCGTAGGCAGGAGCCTCACATGGCCACGTGCCCGGTGGGGGTGAGGGGCGGCCCTGGCCAGCGGCCTGGAGAAGCCCAGCAGTGGCTTGGGGGCCACCCCTGGCCCCAGGGTGCGGCGGGGCCTGGGACTCTGGGGCGAGGGGTGCTCAGCTGGGTGACAGGACCCCCTGGGAGTCAGGCTGTCTGGGGCCAAGTCGGGTCCCATGTCTCCAGTCTTCCTGGAAGTTTGGACAGTGGTCCGCACCGCACCCCCCACCCCACCCCATTCACGTGCTGACACCCCGACCCCGAACTGCGACGAATCGGGAGACAGAGTGTGCAGGAGGTGACAAAGGTCGGATGACGACGTTGTGGGGGTGGGAGCCAGCCGCCAGGACTGGTGTTTCACAGGAGGCTCCAGGGACCCCCCTGCCCCCCTCCCCCCTCCGCACCGGGAGCAGGGACCGTGGAGGACGCAGCGTGGAGTCCCCGTCTGCAGGCTGGGAAGAGGCCCCGCCGGAGAGCCGCCCTGCCGACCCCTCGACCTTGGGCGCCGGCCCCCAGAGCCGTGACGAGGCCCGTCTGTGAGGGAGGCCCCGGCTCGTCGTCGCTCTCACCTGGTGTCCGTGCCGGCAGCTGACGCGCGGAAGGCGGGCGCTCTGCCCGTGAGGCCCTCTGCCCAAAACCACGTTCTCTGCCTGACGCCACTCGCCCGACGGCCCCGCATGCAGCCGGGCGCAGACCCCCCGAGCGTCCCCCTGGTGCCCCGGGCCCCCTTCTGGGACCCGCCTGCCGTGGCCATGCCTCCTTTTCCCCCCAGGAAGGCCAGTTCAAGAGCAGAGGAGCCCGGCAGTCCATCACCTCCCCTCGCTCCACTCCCCCGGGGCCCGCTGCTCACAGCCCCTGTTAGCTAATGAGCTAAAAAATGAATTATTGGCGTGGCCGGCCGTCGGCAGGGAGGAGGCGGCCGGCTCCTCATTTGAGCCCCTTGCTGACACACCTTTAAATAAATCAGCCGCATGGGGGCGGGAGGGAACGGGAGAACGGGCCACCGATCGGAAGACAGACGCCGACCCGGTCCCCCCAAATACAGACGCTATCAAAGGCACGACAGTAAATACTTTCTTGCCGCCTTCCTACAACGGAGCTCTTTTTGGGGGACCCACCTTCCCGGGGGCTGTGCCCAGGAAACCAGCTGGTGAGCGAGCCACCGGCCAGCACAGGGTCGAGGGGTCCGTGGGTGGGGGGGCCCAGGTCGCGGGAGCTGTGTGCCCACTGGGATACGCGGGGCTCAGACG